ACACACACACACACACACACACACACACACACACACACACACACACACAGACAGACAGACAGACACACAGAGTCAGAGGACAAGGGAGGTTAAGACATCTCTGAAAGGCAAAGAATTCAGTTGTCTTGGACCAGACTGCACAGTGAGGAGAGGGTAGGGGCGGGGGCAGCCATGGAGGATGCCATCAGCCCCATGGACATCTAGAGAGGCCCTAGACTGAGGTCAACGAGAGCCAAGGCCAGCAGGTGGGAGGAGCTAAAACTGTGGGATTACTTGAGGCTTGCATGAAACCACTGAAGCCCCCTTCCTCACCACCCAGACTGCTCCGAAGGACTCCTTTCCCCTCCCTCTTTTTGCTCTCCAAGCCCAGGAAATAGCCTCTATAATGTCTTTTTTAATGTGCCAAAAGCCATTCCCCCCATTGCCAAAATAGCCAAGGTGATGCCTAACATTTATAACCAGGACGTAGATTTTCATTCCGTAGAGCTAAAGCATAACATACGGATCCCTTGGGAAAAGGAACTCTGTATCTTGGTAGAGATGGCTGAGCTCAAATCCTCAGTGTGGGTGCTAACAGGGAAGAGTATGAGTGTTTGACAAGGAGGAAGAGAGGGCATCGCAGAGAAAGAAAAGGAACAGCAAGCGACCTTGGAACCAGGCCGATAGGCGTTTTCACCATTTGCATAAGACGTGCTATTCCCCCATCATCCCACGCACTCCCATCCCCGTCCTCTTCTAGAAACTCCCACGTGGCTGTTCTGAGGGGACACTGCTCAAACTTGCAGTGGAGGATAAGGGATGGGTTGGGGACTCACAAGGGAGCGCCATCTCGAGGGAAGGTGAGGGAGGGGGGAGAAAGAGAGGCCTGCAGGCCAGGGAGTGGGTGGCTGGGAGAGAGTGGCAGGAGAACTGGTGGAATACAGGATATGGCAAAAGAAGGGCTTGGAGGCGAGGGAGCTTTCTACTGAACATCTACGGCAATGGGATTAAAGAGAGATGAATGCCAACGCGCCATCCATAGTGGCCTCAGAAATGACAGCACCATGAGCTCTCAATGGTGGCAGAGATGATTTTGCTGTGTTTGGGTTGAAGGAGAGATGGGTTTGTGAGAATCAGTGCATGAACGTGTGTTATTATTAAACACGATGTACCGTCACAGCCATTTCACATCAGCAGTGGGAGCCACAGTTACCTTGTTTTAATTTTTTTTTTCTACAACGAGCCCACTTATGGGATTACTGTTCTTACCTCAAAAGGAAGCAGAGCGGGAGAAGGGCGGTCCCTGTCAAGGGGCCCATGGCAAGCTAATGGGAATTTAACTGTGTCTGTCAGCACACTGGCCCATGGTCCGGACAGCTCTTAGTAGGTGTCCTGGGCATTGAATTCACTCAGCAGAGCCTAATGGCTGAGGTCATGGCGTCAGAGCGTGGAAGGCTAGGGTTGGGGCCCAGCTCCTCCCCCTTCCAGATGGGTGTGCTCAGGCAAGTTTCTAAACCTGCACATACCTCAGTTTCCCCAGGTGTAAGGTGAAGGTGATAATGGCATGTTCCTGGGAGTGTCCTTTTGAAGTTAAATGAGATGAAGCCTGGTGTTTCCTGTTATTACTGTCTGGTTTAGAAGGTAAATGATAGCTATATGATAGATATAGATGGCTGAATTGCCGTCTTTTGTGTGATATTTTTACTTTTCACACTGACTTCATAGCTGCTGCTTTTAACTCTTACAAAAACCCTGTGGGATAAAAATGGAAGGCATCGATTCCAGCTAACTGGTGAGGAAACTGAGGCTCAACCTCACAGCGTCTGTAAGTGGCAGAGGTCAGACTTGAGCCCGGTGTTGTCTTTTTTAAGCCAGAGGTTCTCAGCTGTACTGCCCCTGGAGTCGCCTCCTCTCAGAGATTTCCCTTCCCTCTCCAGCCATGGCTGTCACTGAAGCTCTTCCTCCATGAGGCTTTGCCTTCTCCCATCATTTGCCAGCAACTCGCATGGGCATCTTTATTTTTTTTAAATGAGGCACTGCAAGGGTCACTTACCCTTGGCTGTAACTGGTGGTCAGAGTGACTTCATCTACTCTGTTCCTGGGTACTCGGTACCCCGGAAGCACCCTGGAGCTGGCCATCCCGAGTGAGGGGTCCCGCTGGGAGCATGGAATGGAGCAGAGTGGCACCGAGCATAGACAAGATGGAATTACAGAGGCTTGGGGACTGCAAAGACTTTCAGCAGGGCCCGCAGTGATCTCTGTCCCCAGGGCTCCAGCGGACCCAACCAGGAAGCATCTGTGTCCTCACAGGACAGATAATGATGATGCCCCTTGCTCAAGCTTTCTCACAGGGGAGCACATAGGTCGTCCCCCTCCAGTCCCACTTCTCTCCTGAACCTCGTTTTTCTACCTGTGGCCTCCCGTGGCCCCACAGGACCTATCCCTCTAGCCGTCTCTCTGTTCCCCTAGCAACAGACTTCTCAATGTCATGGTATGGACTTTTGCCCACCTCCTGGTTACCCTCTACTCACTCTTCAATTTAAATGTCACTTCTTCAGGGAGCCTGCTGTTTCCCCCAAAGTCATCGTCTCCTTGCTACCTCCATCCTGTACTTTTCCATCATATACCTATCACAGTTGTAATCATCTGCAGTCACAATTTTTGCCATTATTTGCATCACACCTGTCCCTGCCCCCCCAGACTGTAAGTTCCATGGGGCCCAAGACTGGATCCTCACTGCCTGGTACATGGTGATGCTCGATAAATATTACATGAAAGTATTAAATATTCAATAATGCTGCATGCAAGTGCTTTGGACAGTGAAAGTTGCTCTGCAAATGTGTTTTCATCTCAATTTTATTGCTACCCTTGGGGTTACCAAACAATAAAAGAACTGTCTATGGCAGCTGAGGTTTCCAGAAGAATCAGGCAAAATGATTCGTAAGGAGAATTTATTGAAGATGGTCTGTAAGCTACACAACGTCACGTGGTGCGGCTGCGCCTGAGGGAGGGAGGCTGAGAAACGAGCCTGAGGATGTAACTGGCGCTCGGCTTGGGTGAACAACCCGGATCCAGCATCTTGAGCTTGTCCCTGTGATGATCGGAAAGGCTGGAGAAGAAGAAAAGGAAATGAACACCCGAGGGAGTGGCGTGCAGTTGCTGTCCAGGCTTTGTTTTAAGCTGGTCGTGCGGTTTGAAGGCTTGCCTGTGCGGGATGCCTGAGAGAGTGCGTGCCGTTACCTGGATTCCACCATCAGCCCGATCCCTTCTCTGTTCCCAGCTTCTTTGGGTGCCACTGAACTCTCACACCCCTACTGAGTTTACTCCTCTTTCCACACTTCGCCCAGCTCCTCCCTGACCTCCCCACCCTCCATCCTTTGCCACATCTCCTGCCTGCTGCGCCATTGTATTCTGTGAGCCCCGCCTGGTGTGCAGTGTTCAACCATTCATTCTGCTGTTCCCTCCTGTCCTCTTAGAACCCTGCTGTCATCCTACAGAGCTGACCCATGGTTCCCCCAGCAAGTCACACCCTCCAGGGAAGGGCACCTTTACAACTCACTTCCCCCAAGCACCTCTTCCAAACACTTGCTGCTTTCAAGCCCCTAGACCCATTCCCACCCCTGCAGCATCTTTTATTCATCAACTTTTTATTGAGCATCTACTACATGCCAAGAACCACACATGGTTGGGGGTATAAGCGTAAATCTAGAAAGCACACTTTTGCTCTTGAGATTCCCAGTATGGTGGAAAGAAAGACAGAGAGAGAGAGAGAGAGAGAGAGAGAGAGAGAGAGAGAAGGAGAAGCACTCTGGGCATGTGCGTTGTGCTCTGAACTGGAAGGATGTTAACTGTGAAGGCGTGAGGGTGACATTTTAGCACAGCATGAGCAGGGTTGCTCCAAGCAAGCAGAGAGGACAGGGTCACAAGCAGGTGGCCCTGCATGTGTGGAGAATGTGGTGAGTCAGGGAAGATCACCTCATTCTGTGTGGCTGTGGTGTGGGAGGCAGCCTCTGGAGAGTGGGGAAGACCAGTTCAGGCATGGCCATGGGGGCTGTGTGAAGAGTTTGCGTGTGAAGAACTTGTGGGGCAGCGGAGAGCTCTTCAAAAAACCTTCTCCACAGAATGAAATGAACAGATATGTTTTAAGAATCACTGAGGCAAGGAGGAGGGCCTGCAGGGGATGCAGCAGGGAGGCAGAGAGAGCACTGCAGGGCTTCTCCTGAACACATTCATGGAGGGATGCCATGGCCTAAGGTGCTCTCTGCTGCAGGAAAGCAAAAGTGAATGGTTCTCACACCCAGCTCCTGCAGGGGGCAAAAGCTAGAGGTGGCATGATGTAGAATCTAGATATTTAGAGATGTCCTGGGCCTATGGATGGAAGGGGACAGGCTGTAGTATCTCCCCGACAAGGCTTCACCTCCCTGCTTGACTGTGACCTTACCCTGCTCACCGCCCTTACACGCTTGCCCTGGGAGGTAGCCTCATGGGAGAAGGACAGCAAGACTGTCCTAGGCCTTACTCCCAGCCACCTTTGCTGACAACTCAAAGGAAGGCAAAGGGAACCTTACATCCTTGGAGCCTGGGTGAGGGTAGAGTTGAAGCTGGGACTCCATGCATTCATGTCAAAGAAAGGACAGAATCATCCACAGAGTGAAAAGGATCACTCTCAGAGTCAGTGATTTGTTTTGCTTTTTGTTTTATGTCGGAAAAACACTCGCCTTATATAAAACAAAACCTAGGGACAAGGGTAGGCCCTGAGCGCCAATCCTCCACCTCAGCCCCGGTGATCTGACCCCCTAGGAGTCACCGGCTCAGTCCCGTGGGAGACCCACGTTGGGTTGCTCTTCAGGCATTCTGAGGCTAGGTCTCTTGAGGTGTCCTCAGACCCTCTGTCTGCCCACACATGGGATCCTAATTTGCAATTCAGGTGGCTGAAATTGATTCAGAACAAAAAACAATTGACATCACTCCATGAAAAAAGAAAATGATTTTGTCATTGGCAGTATAATAAAGCCTAGTTCTAAAAGCAATCTGCTTCCCACCCAGAAGACTTGTGCTGGAAAGGTGAGGGTTCTGTCCCCTCCTGCCATGCTCGGTGACAGCAGCCTCACCTGACTTCCTCCAGGTGGGAAGTGACCAGCACGGGAGAGACAGCTCCTCCTGCCTATGATGACCTGATCCAGACCCTCCTTCCCCTGTCCAGCCTTTACCTCTTCAGGTGTGTTCCTTAAGGAAGCTCTGTGCATGACGCGTATAAGCTGACCACCTTAAGTACTTTTCTGAGCCCCAAGTTGCCCTGACCCATGGCATTGGGTTAAAGGCAATATTATCAAATACTCTTCCTCCCAATGGGTAGCTTGGAAGTAGGACTATACTTAAGCCGGGGAGGTGGCTGAGACCTTCCCCAGGTAGTCCCCTCCCCAAACCCACTGACTTCCTCTTGTTCCCAGCACAAAAGGACCCCAGGAAGACAGAGCCTGGCTTCTGCTGGTTCTTGAGAACTCATAAAACCCTGAGGTTCATTTATCTGGAGTGTGTAGAAGCAAAGGAATGCTTTAGTGCGTCAATATCCAGCCCGCTGCAGGCCAAACGTCCAAGTGCGTTGGCTGGGGTGCCAGTCCTGATCTGGGTTCCCAGTGAAGTAACTACACTTTGCAGGTTAAATCCGGTTCCTGCCCTGGACTCCCAGTACCTGGGAGAACTGTGGGGTTCTTGGCTGCTGGCAGGATTGCATTTGTCAAGCTAACGTGCTGCTGCCGTTGTCAAGGTTGCAGCATTTTCTGCATTGAGGACTATATCAAATGTGTATATCCAAGGCTCCCAGGCAGTGAGAATAATCTGTCTGTGTGTCCCGAGTGTTAATGACGGCCAAGCAACTCAGAAAGAAGGCGGGCAGCTGCCTCTGAGGCTGGAAGTAAGGTCCTGCCGTGTTCCTCACTCTTGACCTCTTTCTACCCGTTGCCCCCCTTCCACTACCCCCTCCCTTCCTCTCTCTCTCTTTTCCTCTCCCTAGCTCCTCCACCAGCTCTGCTCCCTCAGCCTGGACCCGCACCCTGGCTCTTTTCATGGGATCCTGAGTGTTTTATTTCCCACGGATGCATGTGGGCATAAGACCATCCACATTCCCATGATTAATTCACTGTTTTGATTATACCTAAACAGAGGTATCTTTTGTACCTGGCCTTAAGGGGTCTTGGCTCTCCAATATCACACTAGAATGAATTGATGCTCTCCCCACCCAACAAACACTGGCTGGGCCCCATTGGAGGTCAGGTGCTGTGCTAGCACGACAGGGCTAATTCCCAGTCCCCTCCCGCCATCGCTCCCTGAGGGCAGCCTGGCTCCAGCTCTGGTCTGGTGAAGGGAGAGGATTCTGGTTTGGAATGCTGGTAGCCGCTACCATATGGACAGTATGTGACTCTTTGTTTCCTCATAGAAAGTTCTGACTTAATTATTTGAGGAAGAGGAGCTGGTCCTTTGCAGTTGGCCAGTCCTGGCTGTGCATGAGACTTTGCTGGCTGGGTCAGGTTCCCCTTCCTCACCTGATGGAGGACACCCCATAAGATCAGCCTGAAGCCCAAGAAATGCCAAAATGGAATGGGCCTGCTCCAAAAACAGGAGTGACCTTGGAAGAGTCCTTTCCCTTTTCTGCTCTTCACTTGCCTGTGTTCCTGCTCTTAATTTATATGAACTGACGAATGCCTGAAGGCTGGATGGTCACCTTTTTCAGCATGAAATCAAACCAGCAAGGAACGCAGGTGCTGCTTGGGAAGGCACGTCCCCATCAAGGCTCCTGTTCTTTGCCTCACCTGTCTGAGAGCTCAGAGTGGGTTCCCCACTGCCCATCTCCCTGGTTCCATGAGCTCCACTGCTTTCTTGTCTACTCCACTCCCAGGCTGCGGAGCTTCATGCTTTGTCATCTTCTCCCTCCAGGGAGCTCTTCACCTGGAGGCTGACCACTTCTCTCCCTCTCTCACCGTGTACACTGGGGTCCGATGGCCTCCAGGGGCCCTGACCATCACGGCTATGAGGCTTGTGGGTATGTGGAATACATTACAGGCCTGCAGGGGATTCTTTGTTCCTGGGAGACCAAAGCACTCCCTGGTGTCTCTCCGGCTAGAGCAGGGAGCAAAGTGCAAAAACAAGTGTACAGCCACACGTTTCCTCTCCAGCGCTCACATCCCTGCCATGTGATCTCTGTGGCATGTGGGTCTGACTCTCAGGGTTTTATAACCTTTCCATGAAGGAGACACTCACAGAGGAGGGCCAAAGGGAGGGCAGCGAACACATGCGGCAGAGTCCGGAAGTCAGAACCGAGCGATGGTGTCGCTGTAATGGACTTGGTTAGCCAGATGGCAGTTCACTGTAGATTCAATCCTCAGTACCCCACACCCCAGGCTGGATGTCTCTGCATGTGCTGGAAGAAAAGAGAGGGATAATGTAGCCTGATCCCCCCAGCCTCCATTCCCAACTCTCACAGAAAAGAAACTCAAAACACATGTGCGGTGGTTTCAGCTCTTCTGTGTGAAGGCCACCGCACTATTGGAGGCATGCTGAGACTTGCCCAAGGCGTGAGAAGGACTCGCACTTCCAGCCCCTACGGCCCACTTAATGTCACGACGGGTGCTGTTCATTTTGGTGTAACTGGGTTGTGGTCATGACTGTACTTACTTTTGGAAGCACGTCAGTATTGCCAGCCCGTTTATTCTTCTCCCATGAGTAATGGGCCGTGTGGTTATTCCTACCTCACAGAGAGGAGACTCCTTGCTGCAGTGCCCATAGGCAGTGGCAGGAGCAGAATCCAGGCCTCCTGGCTTTCCTGGACTGTGATAGCCCCGTATGGTCTGGGGATTGTTGACCTGAGCTGTCAAAATGTGATTTCTGTTACCGGAAAACAGGGAGATGCAATCTCTGGGAGAGGAATTGCTTTTTTTTCTGCTTTAGGAATGATTTCTTGTTGGCTGTGAGCATAACCCCTGCAAATGATTAGCCTCCCGGGAATAGTAGGAGGTAGCCATGCACGTGCTGGATAAGGAGCCGGTGCACCTGGACGAGAGGCAGGCTGGGCTGGGTGGAAGGAAGTCAAGAACTCTATGAAATGTAAAGGGACTGAATCCAGGATTTAAATCAGATAAGACTTCTGAAATTCTCGTGTCTGGTTAGTATCCCTCAGGGGGTAGAAAGAAGTGAGTATTACAAATTTGAATTTGTAAATGACGGTGTGGAGTATGGAGCTTCTGAGAATGCATTTGCACTGCTCAGATGTTATTATTGATGTGATAGGTTAGGAATTAGGTGCTGAGAATAGAGGATGCACATGATAGAGCCCCTGCCCTCCTTGCACTTCCAGTCAAACACCAAACACAGCAGTTAAAACTGAAACAGAGAAAAAAGGGCCATAAAAGGACTGAGAGGGGGTCACAGCCTGAACAGATAAGCTAGTCTGGGAAGGGAAAGGAAATATCAGGGAAGGCTTCCTGGAGGAAGGGACATTTAAACTTAGACCTAAAGGATGAATAAGAATGAGTGGCTTGGTGTGGATTACACCTATAATCCTAGCGCTTTGGGAGGTTGAGGCAGGAAGATTGCTTGAGCCCAGGGGTTCTAGACCAGCCTGGGTAACATGGTAAAACCCTATGTCTACAAAAGTTTAAAAAAAGAAAAACCTAGCTGGACATGGTGGTGTGTACCTGTATTCCTGACTACTCAGGAGACTAAGGCAGGAGGATCTCTTAAGCCCAGGAGTTTGAGGCTGCAGTGAGCTTTGACTCACTGCACACCAGCCTGGGTGACAGAGCGAGACCCTAGTCTTAAAAAAAAAAAAAAAAAGAACCAGATGAAGAGAAGGGGGGCAGTTTCCCTAACAAAAAGAACAGGTTTTCCTGACAAAAGGAACAGCAAGTGTGAAGGCCCAGAGGCAAGGGAAACAGGACATTATCTATGGGCTGAACTGAGGTCTTTTATGGCTGGTGAGTAGAGATCAGAGGCTAGAGACAGTGAGAAGGCTGTCGGGTCCCAAGATGAGTTAAGGAAGCAAGGTCAATCCTTCCCCGAGGAACTGGGAAAAATGGGAAAACGGAAGCAAGAACTCAAGGATGCTCAAGAGTGCTCCGTAACAGGAAGCCCCAAAGCCCCATGGGAGATGACAGAGTTCGCTGGTGTTGGAACCAAGCCTGAATTAGAACCCAGACTCTGCCTTGTAGTGTGTGACCTTGAGAAGGTCATTTAAACTCTCTGCAAAACGGAAGGGGAGGAGAACGGGCACCTGCAGGGTACCTACTGTGCACCACACACTGTGCTGAGTTGATTAATCTACTAAGAAGAGTTATACCTACCTCACAGTGTAACTAATGAAACTTCTATTTAAACGTTGTTGAATGTGTATGACTATACCTAGCACCTAGGAGGCTCTCAATATATGCCAGCTGAGTTGGACTGTGTGCCTGGGGAACAAGGCAGAGCTTGGTGCCAGAGACAACGAAAGAGCCCGGTTGGCAATGGGAGCATGAGGTCAGAGTCAAGGCCACCGATGCAGACAGGCTCCGCCCAAGTGCCAGCTCTGGGCGCTTGGCAAAGGCTCTTGGGAGGGCTGTTTTAAAAGGACTTTTGGATTCTCCTGGCTCATCAGAAGAGAGTCATGACTGATTATCAATGTCTGTCATAGGCACACAATGGAGTAATAGTAGTACATACAGCACACATTTGCCATTTTTGGTCTAAAGCAAGATGATACAGACTCATGTAGCTATAAGCCAAGGATGTTTGAGCCTTCCTGCCATGGGCTAACCCTGCAGGTAGAAAGTAAGTGGTCTCATGAATGGGCCCCCAAATTTGGCAAGAAAGCACAGGTCTAACCGCTGAGCTGCCGTGGGAATTTTTGCATTCCCATGATAGCTTATTAAATATGGGCTCACAGCGGTATCTCCCAATGCAGGGAAGGCACAGTGGCCTGCAGGCACTGTTCAACAAGTACTGAGGCAAGTGTGGGAGAATTAAAGACGCACGCTCTGCCTCTGAGAAGCTCAGAGCTGGCTGGGATCACTTCCCTTCAGAACACAGCCCAAACAAAGCCAGCCCCAAATAGGGCCTCACCTTATTTAGCCACTGAAGTCATAATTGCACTGATTTAGATTTTGAAAGAGGCCACCATCTTCTGCTAGCTCAGATATCCTTCCTTAAAAACGAGAACAAGAAGTTTCTCCTTGAATCTGCAAAGGTTAAATGTTGTTGGAGTCATTTAAAATCAAAAGGATTTACACACCTGCGTGCACACGCTCCCTTGCACACTTGTGGACCAGAAGCTGGACTCTCAGCCTCCATCCTGGGCAGGGGACTCTGTGCAGCTGGCACTGTGCCTGCAGCCACCAGCACCCAGACTTCTCACACAGGGACCCAGATGCTCCCCTTCCCCTGCTTTGCTGATGTGGAGCTGGAGTTCCGATGAGGTAGCCGGAATTTCTCTCCGTGCTATTTTAGTATCGCTGAGAGGCATGGGAAGGCTTTGTTCTCCCTGGCTGGTTACGTAATTTTCAAAAGGAAAAACAGCAAAGCCCGAACGCTCCTAGAGTTTGCTCTTTGGGGAGGACGGAACTCCCCACCCAGCATCTGATGTTCCTTCTGGAAATTTCTCCCTCAATTCTTTCCTCTAACTACCCCACCTCAGGGAGTTGAAGACAACAGGGTCCCCTCCTGTTTCTTTCTCAGCAGTGTCCCTACAGGTGTGTTCTTTAAAAAATCGTGTAAGGGAAACACAATCCAGGGTGGGTGGCATCACTGCCTCCCAGGGACCTTAAGATGTGTGCAGTTACCCCAGGCTCAAGCGTCCCAGGGGGAGAAGGCTCACCTGGGGCCCGTCCTGGGCAGCAGAGCCTGTCAGTGGCCCCTCTGCTTGAGACCTGTTTATTCGAGACTAAGCTGGGCTTTGGCTCCGGTCAGTTGGTGTCCTGCTGGCTGGTGTGTGTGAAGGGTCATCCCAGGTCCTGGGCTGGGAGTGGTGCTGGGCATGAGAGAGGCCCTGGCATAGGGGATGCAGCCCGAGGTTGGTATCACGGGCAGCACCATTAGGAGCAGCCATCTGCCCATGCATCAGGGTTTCTGCAAAGGAAAATGAGTTCCTGAGCACGCACAGATCACTTCACGTGAACCACTGCAGCCTGCGCACCTCCGGGGTGGAGGGAGCAGCGCTTAATTTCAAAAGCAGGAAGCCCAGGGAAAATTGTTTCTCCTGATTCCTGGGGGTCCCCCTGCCGCTGCTGACAGTGAGACCCAGCTGAGTCTCAATGGTAAAGATCAGTGACTACACAGCAGTTCGTTCTTCGGTGAGGAAATGCCTCTGGTCATCATGCTTTTGGGGGCCTGTGTGGCCTCCTCCCTTGAACTCCTGCCTTCAGCCCCTGCTCACTCTAAAAGGATTTAAAAAGCTTTCTTTTCTGGGCGTCAGGGATGCTTTTTAAATTTGTCTTTCCATGTGGGTTGTACTTTGTCATGACCAAAATCTTACTGCAAACATGGAGCCATTGCTGTGTCCACTGATATTCATTTATTGGATCCCTCTCTGTGTGCCAGACACTACCCTGGGCCCTGGGTTACATCAGTGAAAACAGAAAGATAAGGTTCCCCTCCTCTCCACAGTTCTATCTGGCTTTGGAATCGAATGACATCCATGCCAGGTGAGACCCAGGACCCCAGACCCAAAGGGACTTTCCAAGGCTTCTTCTCCATTTTAGAAAGTCAAGAAATGCAGATCTCTGGGCGCTTCCTCTCCATTACTTAGCTATTGCTGTGTTACAAATGTCCCAACATTTATTGGCTTAAAAACAACATTAATTACCACGCAGCTCCTGAGAGTCAGGAATCTGGGCACAGCTTAGTTGGGTGCCTCTGACTCGAGGTGTCTCCTGAGGTGTCAGTCAAGTTGTTGGCTGGGCTATAGTTCACTCAGGGCTCAACTCAGGGAAGGGCTGCCTCCAAGCTCACTCACGCAGTGGCCAGCAGATCGATTTCTGAGAACTCCCAGGAGTCTCCCAACAGGGCTGCCTCAGGAAGGAGCAGAGGCTTCCCCAAGAGCGAACAGGAGAGAGTGGTTACCTGAGATGTAAGCTACAGGCTCTTTATAACCTGGTCTCCAAAGTGGCATCCCATTCCTTCTACCAAATTCTATTCCTTAGAAATGAGTCAGTGAGTCCAGCACCCACTTAAGGGAAGGGGGTGGCACAGGGCCTGAAAACCAGGATCACTGGGCCATCTGGGAAGCTGCCTTCCACATCCTCCAGGACCCTCTCTGATCAGACTCACCCCGCTTCCTGCTGCACTTACAGTAGCGATCACACAGTCCCTGAATGTTCCTGCATTGTTTCCATAATTATTGCTGTGGTTCCACTCCCCCAATGTGAATATAAGCTCCTTGAGGTCAGAAGCTATGTGTTCTACATCTCTTTAGTTTGCATTTAGACCAACCATATGCCTGACCCAGGGACTAGGGAGCACTTCATCTCTCCAAGGTGGGGTGGTTAGAGGAAAGAATTGAGGGAGATATTTACAGAAGGAACATCAGATGCTGGGTGGGGAGTTCCCTCCTTCCCAAAGGGCAAGTTACTGTCGTTAGATCATCTCAGCCCCTCAAGTGAAAAAAGAAAATGTAAAAGTCCAAAGCAAAAATGTCTTCAACAGCAGTATGGCTTCACAGTCTCTCTTGGCAAGAAAGCTGGAGGTGGGTAGTTGCAGGCGTGGCTCAGTTCCTCAGCGATGCCAGCAAGGTCCCGTGCTCCTCCGCCACCTCCCCACGTGGCCTCAAGGCATCTGCAGCAGCACCAACACCACTTCCTCTATCACCACATCTGCAAACAGGAAGTCGGGTTTCTTCTTGCTTAAGAAGGAAACCTTTTCCCTTAGGACCCCCCTCGGCAGACTTTCCCTTAAGGCTTGTTGTCCAGGACAGGATCACATGACCACCCTAAAGCAATCATTGCCAAGAGGGAATTGTATTACCACAGTTGGTTTAGATTCATGGTCCTCAGCCGAGGTGGGTTTGGGAGATGACATTGCCTCCTGGGACTCTGGGAAATGTGAGTCTGACCCAGGGACTAGGGAGCGCTACTGGTATTTAGTGGGTTGGGACCAGAGTTGTTAAACTTCCAGCAATCGTGTGTGGTACAGTCCCACAAAACATGGAGAGAACTGCAGAAGCCGAGCCCGGAGTCATTGTGTAATCACCTGAGCGAGCCTGGAAGCAGATCTTCCCCCATTTGAGCCTTGAGATGACTGCAGCCCTGGCCAACAGCTTGACCTTGAGTCAGAGGCACCCCGCTCAATGCCAACACCAACACTGTTGAAAACTGCTGATTTAGACAAGGGATCTTCATCCAGAGGTGATTTTCTGCCTCCCCCACAGGTGATTTGTCAGTGTTTGGAGACACTTTCAGTTGTCACAACTTGGGGGTGTGGCTGGCATTTAGGAGGCCAAGGCCAGGGATGCTGCTAAACACGCAGGCATGCACAGGACAGTCCCATGGCTAAGGATTATGTGGCTCGAGTGCTGACGGTGCTGAGGCTGAGAAACCCTGGCGTAGACCCACTGTGAGTCATTCCTGGGTTGGGCTCAGCCGCCTGATGGCTGAACCAGACCCGGTTTGTTCGTAAGTAGGAAGCAGAAATGTTTCCTGGGTAGGTGGCCACCGTCGGTGTTGGCTACAGGTCGTGCTACTCAGATGCCTGCGAGTCAGCCAGCTCATCCCCAGGATGACCAGCCCCAGTGCCGTGGGTTCCAGCATGGCCAAGTTCACAGTTAGAGGTCAAGAACTTGATGGAAAGTGGGGGCGTAGTTGCTTAAATTCAAGATTTTTCTTACTCTACTTTTAATATTATTTCAACGTTCTATTTCTCAGTTTCTCTTTTCATAGAATGGGCTTACTGTGGCCTCTATACTGGGTTGCACACAGGCTGAAAAGGTGGCCGCCTCTTGCTTTGAGACAAACCCCAAGGTGTGCCTGCCCCACATTTTTCCCTCACTGGGCCCGAAAACTCACACTGAGCCTAGATGGTTTGTGGTAAGAGTCACCCACTGGGGCTGAGATATTGTGGTGATTAGAGCATGAGCTTTGGACTCAGACTTACCTGAGTTGACACCCCAGATTCTTCACCTGCCAGAGAATGACTAGGCAAATCACTTCCCTCTTGAAGCTCCATGGAGAATGATATCAACCTCACAGGGTGGTTGTGAGACCCAACGGAAATAATCAGGTGAAGCCCTTGACCTGCGATAAACCCTCGGTACACACAGCTTCGCCACCTTCATCATGCCCCCTTTGCCATCTCTCCAGAAGGCTTCTGTTAAAATGCAAGTGGGGTTGAGGGGTGAGGCACATCAGCTGTCCCATAGAATTGCAGAACTAGAGGGGACCTTTAGGCCAGATTAGGTAGTGTTTGGAAAGTTGAGAGCTGGGCTCTGAGGGCATCGAATTTGCAGATGAACTGAACTAAGCCTCACCTTGAGGGTAGCTCCCTAGGAGGGCAGGCCTGAGATTGTGTCACCATGAGGGGCAACAGGAAGACTGAGTCCAAGAGGAAGGAAACAGTACAGTGCAGGAGGAACCAGAAAGGGGCCCGGGTGCCAACACGCTTCAGGGACTGCCTGTGAGTGAAACTAGAGGATGTTCCCGTGGAGTCTAGAGCAGAGGTCCACGAGCTGCAGCCCACAGCCCTAATCTGGCCCAGCACATATTTTTGTAAATACAGTTTTACTGAAATGCAGCCATGCTCATTTGTTCGGGTATTGTCTGTGGCTGCTTTTGTGCTATAAAGGCAGATTTAAGTTGTGTTGAGTGGTTTCAACAGAGGCTGTATGTCCTACAAACATGAAAATATTCATTTTCTGGCTCCTTATAGATAAAGTTTGCCAATCCCTGGTCTAGAGAACTTCATTCATATAGACTACAGTGACTCACCAGGATCACAAGCCTTGGAGTCAGACTGACTACGATATGAATGGTGACACCTAGAACCGTGCAGTGCATAGCCTGCTCAGCTGGGAACGTCGGCTCCCCGGCAGAAGGGCTTCCTCTATGTTTCAGAGTGTTCAGGACAGGGAAGAAAGCAGCGTCTGGGAAATGTCAGCCCCTTGCTGGGGAGCTAGTTCCTGTGGAAAGTCGACAGCACGAGGTTTGGGAGGATCTGAGCAGACGGGGAGGTGAGTCTAAATTTAGACTTTCCAAAGCTGATTTGTAAACCAGAGCCCCAGGAATCCCAGAACGGGACAGTTGGCACACACCATCTCATCTCTGGTTTGCCTCTGCTTGTTAAAAGGCTGGATGAGTGAGAGAACAGTTAACTGGCCTCAAATAAGCTGTTGCCTGGGTCAGTGAGAAAACAGTTAAGAGCTGAAACTCCGTTGTTCAGAGTCCTGAGGGTAGAAATTTGTATTCCTGTGTTTTATTACGATGCCTAGCCATGGAATCATGGGCACCTTGGCTGCCCTTGCAAGAGTTCCTGCATTCCTCTTGCTGGGTATCATTCAAGCACGACTGAACCGGTGACCTTTCCATCTCAGACAGTGAATGCCACCTCCCTGGGTTTGAAATCACACCTGTGATTTGGAGCGGCTCTGAACCACCACCTTTGAATTGAGAATGGGCTTTGCCCTAAGAAGCTGCATCACACCAAGAGCTGCCATAACCACCCCCCGCCCAGGTGGACACATCCATATGCCAGTCTGCTCCTCCCCAGGGCTGATGGGCCCACCCCTCTCAGCATATCATGCAAGAAATGCACCACTAACCTGAGATGTCTTGGATAGTAGATGCCTTGTAATCAGTCCTCCTAGGGAGGAAGGCAAAGGGTTTACAATACAAATTACAGAGGAATTGGGGAAAGAAACAGAAAATGAAGAGGCTTCAGAAGAGAGGCATAATGATAAACTCAAATGGGAACAGAGACATGGTCAGACAAGATGCTGCCCTATTAGAGCACTGAAATTCTAAGAGGCAGCATCTATGCAGAAGACATTACTAAGAGGATGGAAGTTCAGAAATATTAGTCTGAGTGGTTGGGGCTTATTTTGAGATGCTCTCTTTGAACAAGTTGCATGGCAAGTATCACAAAGGACAGTGATCCCCCCCCCAGGAAACATGAGCATCACCACTTTGTGGACATAATGAATTGTACTCAGCTCCTTCCAGTCCATGAATATTTCCTATGCTCTACTTTGTTCCCTGTAAGCTACTTGTGAAGCTTACAGTCTAGTTGGAAGATGGCTATGTATCAAAAATTAAATAACAGCCCAGGCTAATATATGGTGAATGCCAAACTCAGCATACACATGAATGCCACAGGACTTTAGAAAAGGGAGACATGGCATTGAGAACCAGGATGGATGCCTTAGGGAGAAAAGTGAGACTTTGGATTCTGAATGGTAGGATTTCAACAAATGAGGGTGGCAGGGAAGCAGGAGG